AAATTCACAGAGGAACATCATAAAGTACATGTGACCACTTCTTTCTAGGGTATGTCAAAAGCTCACCTGATGCTCCAAGAGGCACAAATAAGTCCACATGACCCCCTTCTTCTTTGGTGGCTACAAAGCTGCCTAATTTCTCCCAGAAGTCTCTCACTTCAGGCCTCAGTAAATTTTTAATACCAATTTTATAGCCTGAGGGGGACAAATCAAAATATCATATAAATTTGTGAAATTATCATGAACAACAGTGTGCAAACACAGATTCAAAAAGCCAACATCTGCTCATAAGACCAAGATCTCTGGACTTCATGCTGCACCATGTTCAGGCCACTAAGATGCCACTGGACACCCCCATGGCAGAGTGTCCTTCACACTGTGGAACAACTGGACATGGTGTGCTTTGGCTTTGGGCTTTGCATTTCTGCCTTCACCTTGCAGCTGTGTGAATCACCAGGCTCACACAGAGTTCACAGTGAATAGCCGGTCAAGTCCTGGGATCTTGCAACCAAGTTCCAAAGTCAAAATGCTTCCCACAATTATCAATCAAAACATAAGTAGTTCAGAGCAGATGTAAGGCTACCAGAGTCAGCAAACATTAACTGTCACTCTCCTCTGCTTTACTTCCTGGGAAGTGATTCAGGGACTCACTTCACCATTTTGTGAATTTCCTGCCAGCTGGATCTTTGATCATCTTGTTCCCTCCTCCCTCAAACCACAAGGATGGAATATTTGATGACAGTAAATCCTTCTTTGGGTATAGGCAGGGGAGAATCCAAGTTCTATAAGGGAGAAAAGAAACTAGAAGTTTACTTCTAAAACTCATCATTTCTCCCCAGCCCCCAAAAGGGTGACTGTTAGCCTAGCATGGTGGCACATGCTTATAATTTTAGCAACTTAAGAGGTTGAGGCAGGATAATCCCAAGTTTGAGGTCAGCCCCAGGAACTCAATGAGACCCTGCCTCAAAATAAAAAATAAAAAGGGCTAAGTATGTACCTAAGTGATAAAACACCCCTGGGCTCAATCCCAAGTACCACACAAAAATGTATATGTAGACATATATAGATACATAGATATAGGTAGATAAATCGATAGAGACACCAATGGCCAAACATCACTCATCACTCAATATCAGAGAAATGCCACTCAAAAACAATGATGATGGGCATTATTCAAAAAAAGAAAAGAGCCAGGCGTAGTGACACATACCTATAATCCCAGCAGCTTGGGAGACTGAGGCAGGAGGATTGTGAATTCAAAGCCAGCCTCAGCAAAAGCAAGGCACTAAGCAACTAACTCAGTGAGACCCTGTCTCTAAATAAAAATACAAAACAGGGCTGAGAATTTGGCTTAGTTATCTAATGCCGCTGAGTTCAATCCCTAGTACCCCCCCACACAACCAACCACCATCCCCTCCCCCGAAAAAAAAGGAGAGGAAAGAACAAATGAAGGATTTAGAAAAACTGAAATACTTACGTCACATTGACAAAACAGCTATGGAAAACTATATGGGGATTTCTCCAGAAATTAAAGTAGAACTAGCAGGTGTGGTGACACATGCCTGTAATCTCAATGTCTCAGGAAGATGAATTAGAAGGATCATAAGTTCAAGATCAGCCTCAGCAATTTAATAAGACCATGTTTCAAAAAATTCAGGGCTGTGGATACAGCTTGATGGTAAAGTGGCCCTTGGGTTTACTTCCTAGCACCAAAACAAAAATAGAACTACCATTGGAGACCCAGCAATCACATCCAAAGTAATTATGAGCAAAAACTCAGAGAGATACTTGCAGACCCTTATTCACAGCTGCCAAGATATGGAAGTAACAAATGGATGGACAAACTGATATGCAAAATGGGGCATAAACATACAATGAAATATTATTCACTTTCAAATATTAAATATAAATATTTCAAATATTATTCACTTTCAAAAGAAGGAAATCCTGTCACATGGTACAACATGGGATGAATCTTGAGGACATTATGCTAAGTGAAATACATCCATCACAAAAAGACAAATGTGATTCCACTTGTAGGAGGAATCTAAAGTGCAGTAGAATGACGTTTGCCAGGGATTACGAGAAGGGAAGAGAATTAGTCACAATTGAAATTATTGTTGAGTAGATACAGAGTTTGAGTTGAGAACATGAAAAAGTTCTGGACAGCTATTTCACAACAACGTGAGTATGCTCTTAAGCTAAAATCAACACTTCTTAGCAAATTGAAAATTAATATTAAAGTTATTCAGTGGACAAACCCTGCTTAAGGGCAAAGTTGTCTGGCTGTTCTTCACCAATCCTCAGTCCCACCTTGAAGTAAATTGATTTCTCTGCTATCTCCATCACTCAGGATTCCTATGCTCTGTGCCTTCCTCCCCTGCAGGGCTTTCCCTATGAGGTAGAGAAGGCTCTCCAAGGTCATGCCGCCGTGTTCACAGACCACAGAAATCACACCTGCCTTCACGCTGTCCACCACCATCTAGAAAACAAACACAGCTACAGGACCAGGGTCTGTTATTTTATAATGTTTACTAATAGGAGAATTATAATGGATATATAATATACTGTGACTACTAAGAAGGTTTTTGTTTTTCAGAAATCATGGAAGGAAGAAGTTAAGCTTCCTTCTTAATTGACTCCTTTTAAAATTATTGTACTCCTTTTCTAATTATAAGAAGAGAAAATTAAGTTCACTTGCAACTCCATCACTCAGAGATACATGTTTTTAACAATGTAGGTTATTTTCTTTTAGTCTTTTTACCTTTGTACACTCTATGCACAAATGTATGTATGTGTGTGTGTGTGTGTATATATATATATATATATATATATATATAACATTTACATATATATTTTAATTTATATTTAATATTTATATATTTTAAAATATATTTATGTATTTTATATACTCATATTAAAATGTATATAAAATATATCATATACATATATAACTTAAAAATGATAAAATCAAGATCATACAATACTGCAATGAACTTCTTGGATTTAAATTTTCCTTTTCACTATGAATTTTTGAATTATCAATATCAGTTTATAAATATTTCCCATTTAAATCAATGTTAAAAAATGCTGTTAATTCAATAGCCAAGCAAACTTTTCACCGTGATAAAGTTAATTCATAGTGTCAGACAGGTTGAGAAGTCATTAAAGCTGCTGCCTTTTCCAAAACCTCATTCCACGTTCTTGATTCAGTTCAACTGACTAGAGAACTACCATGTGGTTATGTTCCACTTTTTACTTAAACTCCCCATCATTCATAGTCAAATAAATAATTGTGCATAGTCTTACGTAAAAGAGGACAAACAGGGAAATGGACTTGACCAACTTGTTAGTGCACACAGATAAAACAGGCAATATTTTATTAACTACCACAAAGAAATCAAATCTGGAATTATCAGAAATATAGAAAATGTAGAGATTTTTGTGGACTAGGATGGTACAGGCATACTACTGAGATCGTAAGCTATAGGTGGACCTTGAAAAACAGGTGGCATTTGGATAGGTGGAAAGGGGTCATCAACGATTGATCCTCTGTGCCAACGGTACATTTTTTAGCATTAGGGGAACTACTTGTGGCACACACGCAGATTACAGCTCTGAACTTATTCTCTCATAGACCTGCTGAGCTCACCAACTGACAATGCCCTAAAGAAGCAATTTCACATCTTCAAAGCAGCCATTTTGTTACAAATAGGAACTTTCTGGTAAACTTTCTAAGTAGACCAATGAATGTAGCCTGCTGAATGAGATTCTCTTCATCTCTTTGTGTGTATTAATACAAACACATCCATATATACAGATGCTCGCCAACTTACAGAGTTACGCCCCAACAAACCCGCTGTAAGTTGAAAACATCCCACGTCAAAACTGCATTTCATTTCATACCTCTACCCTCCCAAGCATGCCTGTCTAGCAACACAGCACACACAGCACACAGAGCCTGCTATGATCCCCATCCCAGGGCTGACTGGCAGCTGTGGCTCCCTGCTGCTGCCACCTAGCATTGCCAGACAGGATCATACCACTTATGACCAGCCCCAGAAAAGATCAAGATTCAAAATTCAAAGACTGGTTTCTACTGAATGTCTCTGGCTTTCATGCCATGCATGAGAAAGTCAAAAACTCATTAA